AAGTTGTTATAATAGTGAAATGGAGATAAGAACTCTTCTAAGTTATCACCCACTGGAGGACATGACTGGTTTGAATGACTGCTCTACACTGACCCCTTAGGATTAACGTCCTGGCCCGTCTGCCAATCACACAGGTCTCCCAGTCACACACATGGCGTACACAAGAAGTCTCCAAAGAAATCTTGCTACATCTGTATCATTTTAAAGGGAAAGATGAAATAAAGATGTTAAACATGTACCCTTATCAGCATTACATGAAATGTGTCCTGACAGTCAACTGACAGTCAGCTGTACATTTCAAAGTTTTGAAATAATGCAATATAATTATGCTTAGTTAAGAAGATATCAGATTCAGCAAAAGGTTGATAAGATTTGTTTTTTTTTCTGCTTCCGACTTTCTTACCCTAAGTTGCTAAAAAAAAGTGCCATGGATTTGTCCAGGTGCAAAACGTGACCACAGCCCAGTCAGCAACACATGAAATAAAAACCTGATGTTCAAAACAAAACAGCCAAGGTCCACACTCTCCTTTCTCTCGCCACACTAAAAGTCTTCCTCAGTAAGAGAAAGCCAGAGCTGCAATCATTAATCACACGCAGTAATCATTGAACATGTAAAAATAACTGGCAGGGAAACAGAACTGGAACCTGTATTAAAGATTGAGCCAAATCAAACCTGTTAGTCTTACATGTAATGGTATCATTTGTTGTCTAATCTCTTGGTCAAACAAGAACAAATTAAAGCAGAGGCACCAACAGCCCATTTAGATTTGCTCTACAGTAGGAATAGTAAGGAAATCTAAAAAAAAAAATGTAGCCCTTAACCACAAAATGGCCTACACACAGGAACAGTGCACCTAAATGCAATAAGGCAGGAAAAGGCTTGTGGAAAGCTAAGAAAAAGGTGATAATACTCTCTCCACAGATTCATAGGGAATGGCTGAGAGGACAGAGCAGCGTGATATTAATGAAAAACTGACAGGAACTTAGTGCTCCTCTCACTGTGGCAGTAAACCCCATTAAGATATTGTAGCAGGCAAGCTGTGCAAAAGCTCCTTCTCTACCAAATCAATGACACAGAGAGATTTCTATAGTTTTCTGGTGATCTGTAACAGCTAACTGTACAGTTGCAAATGGAGCAGGCCAGTTACAGGGGAACAATGTGAAATTACTATGTTAAGACAAAGAATAAAATGCTTATTAAAGAGAGATTAAAATGGATAAAAGATGTACTTTTTGTAATATATATAAAACAGATAAGGCTGAAAAGGAAATTCCACACACTATCCCTCCTTATGATGTACAATCAAACTCAACACTATTCTGTTCCTTGCATAAAACAAACTAAATAACACTCAGTTTAATACCTGTCAAAATCACAGATAAGTGTGATTATCAAGATCCTCAAAATCCTTCCACAAACATCTGTCCTCTGCCATCTTCATCCTACAAATTGATTTTGTCTTGCCAACTGACAGAATATCTCTTTCTTGCTCATTTTTAGAGTCTTAGACACCAGTCCAGGTGTTCTCTTAATCCATCAATAAACCGTTCTTCTCTCTGTCTCAATACGCTAACAATGATATACTGTAACGTAACAGTTTTTATTTTGACTGTTGCTTGCAGTCACCAAACTGGGGCACTGGTTTGGAATTTCTGGTCTGGAAAAAAGAATGCCACCTACTGGTCCACCAACCATTTCAAACACAATTCTGGATTTCCTTGAATGTCTCCCATCCCTGCACTAACCGGACCCAATCTTGCAAAGCTTCTGAGATCTGACTACAGTAGATCAGGCTACAAAACGCTAGTGATGCTGGCAACAAGGACATTGTAAAGAAATAACTCCACACCCCCAAGGCCTTTATTAAAATGTGTGGTGCAGAAATGGAGCAATTAAAGGTTGCAACTGGCAGCTACCCAAATCTGCCTCTGAGCACGTCTTTCATTTATCCAGAATATTAAGCCTTTTGTGAAAGCCTTAACTTTCCCATTAAGACTGTTAAATATGTGTTTCCTAAAAGGACACAAAGTCAACAACACATAAGCTTTAGGTATAACCTAAAATCCTGGAAGTTTTAAAAAAACCTATGATCTTTGCAGATTTTCCTAAAATGCTCAACCTTTTACCAAGATTTAAATGTGTAATACCATACTAAAAAAAAATCACAGCCATTGTAATTGTACATGGAATGGTAAAAAACATATAATGCAAATTTATCCTCTTAATCTACCTTGTTACTCTTTTGAGACAGCAAGCCAGCACAGCTATAATCTTAATAATATGAAGTTGCTACAGCCTTCATACAGTCAGAAACAGATAAAACAGATTACGACTCACTGTCAAGATTACGAGAAGCTCATTTCTGAGCTACAGAAGACCTTTGGCTGCCTGCCGAAATTATAGAATCACAAATACAAGTGTTTTTATTGTAGAGGTAATTATATTTTTTTCTTATTAAATTGTACAGTCCAAATTAGCGTTCATACAGTATGTGAATAAAACATTTTCAGACATACAGAATTCCAATTAACTATTTACTGAACCATTATTAGAGTAGTCTCTATAATGTCAAATTTAGAAAATCTTGTTTTTTTTTGTTTTGCAATGAACTGCTAAAACAATCACCTGTCATTTCCAACATAAAATCATAATTTCATGGCATTATACTGTAGTCTTCAAACTGTCTGCGATTAAACTGCTCTAGCCTTGCATGGAATTCCAATAAATCATATCCCCAACTGGGAAATTGTGTTTCTTTTAAAGATATTGAACAAAATACCATGATCTCAGCATTGTGACCTTTATCTGCTCAACAGAAAAGCCTAACATGTCAGCATAGGTGATTATGCAGTTTTTTACTTACACTTTGGGCAAGCTGCATAAAAATTGTGGTTCACCAGGGCAGCTATCAAAGTTGTTAACACACACAGAACACTACTGAACATACTGCTCAAGTAAATAAACCACAGAAAGGTGCGTACCCTTCAATATTTATAAGATGTTTTACAGTAAAATTTAATACAGAAGTATTTACCATACAGTCTCAATATCCAAAAATGTAATAATTCCAGTTTAGCACAATAAATTCTTACCATCAGGTATTTATTACATCAAATGAAGTAAGGAGGATATACAATTAAAAGCATTGCCAATTATAATGTAAGCTTCATCATTATAAAGAAAATTAAAAAAAAACACTCTGCCTTTCTCAGTTTAATGACTATTCACTTAAGAACAGTTACAGTATTTACAGGAAGAAGTAACAAGTCACCATTTTTAACACTCTCAAGGACAGACAGCTACAGACTGAAAAAGTGAAGCAACCAGAGATCCCAAGAGTAAGACACAACAGTTTTCACTAGACAAGACAGGCTTTTATCTAGTTGAGTGTTTATAAATAAGTGAGCTAATGTTTTTGTGACCTTTAGATCAACAAAACATAAAGGAAGAAACTGAAAGCCTGCTCTTTAGGACAGCTTTGCTTAAGCCTGTTAACTCAATGGCTAAGAAAATCCAACTTCTTACCCAACTATTTTACACAGACTTCAATATAACATTGATGCATATTTATTCAAAGGCAATACTTTATCAACAAGAAACAAACATACTGTCAATAAAGGGCTCATTTACTTAGGTAAATACAATCTGCACTAAATAAAGGATTAGAGTTCTACATATGGGTAGCTTGTGAATAAAAATACAATCATTTCTAATTAAGGTACATGGATAAAAAACAGTAATTTCTCATTTAAAAACTTTATACAGTATATTTATTTCTGGACAACTGCTTACAGCAGATGTTTTACAGGACAGGACTAGAAATAGCATCAATCTCAGAATGCCAGGGACAGGAATTTGTAATTATTTTGTCATTTGAAAGAAGATGCTACTGTACATCTGCCTGTTTGCACAAAGATAATATTACTGTGCACATCTTTGAAAATAAAATCTTTCCAATCCCAACTTCAGAATTAAGAATATGGTTATGAATTTGTGTACCACATTAGTCTTGCATCCATACTAACAGTAGTTCTACCTGTCAATCCCTGAATACCTGTTTCCTTCTTGTGTAAGGGTTACCCTTATCTACCTTTCACTGAGAACATTGAACACTACTTACCTTTATCTTCTAATGAAAGTACTGTTGAAGAATAATAACTCACTCACCTGGTAGTCCATCCACTCCAATTTAACTGTTAACATTTTTATGAAATCACTTTATCAGCTATTGGTTAATTAAAAAACACTTAGCTTTAGCTACAGTAGATACATACAGTACCTAATATCGCAGAAGCTGAGACACCAAACTGTAGGGTGAAGCTTTATTATCTCTCACAATCGCAAATATATAAGCACATGGATCTCAGCACAATCAGAGGATCTGACCTCGCAAAAACTGCCAAAATGAATATTATACAGTTAATGTGGTACAAGACGTGCACAGCACAGATTCTTACTACAGATTTTAATTAACATAGCATTTATTTTATTTAAGTGTTTATTTTGTTTTTGTATAGTTTGAAATTTCTAAAATACCTCTATCAAATATTCCAGGCTTTCATTTTTTCCCCTATCCTCTAATTTCTTATCTAATATAGAGAGACAACATCACACTGCTTCTATTGTTTGCAATACTGAATGTTGTTCTATTACAGCTGGACAGAGTTGAAACAATCATTATTAGATGCTTTTACATAAGACATCGCCATTTGTAGAGTTCATGTAGATGGCCGAGTGGATGTATCTGTTTTTCATTAATTTTGAAACTTGTAGTTGGAGTGTTGATTATTTAAATATTGTTTAAATTTATTTTATACAACTACTGTTGATCCAATGCAGATCTTGAGGATCTTGAGGTTTTGGGAGTGAGAACATTAGTCAGTTCAAACCACACATGTTGCAGAGAATTACTTGTATACAGTTGGTCTTTTTATTCACAATTTTCAACTCATTCGACCACCCTTTCACAGCAAAGAGAAAAAGGAAAAGTTATACTTACCAGAACTCTCTCGGGCTCCCCTTGTGATTCAGCAGAAGGCTCCATGACTCTGCAGCTTCCTCTCCAACTTCCTGCCTGTTAGTGCTGCTCAGGATCCTACATGCCTATCAAGAGAACACAGGGGCCTGTCAGTGGCAACACAGCAGTGCTCCAAATCAGTAGCCAATATAAAAGACCTTTCACAACCACATGATGCACTTCAACTTGAATGTATACATGTGTCAGAATCCTGAGAGGAGAGAAATGAAGTTGAGGATAAGAAATGCCCTTCCCCATTGTAATTATGGTTTAATAAAATTGAACGTTACTACATTCAGGGAGATTGTATTCTCATGTATTCATAGCAGTATTCTGTGATTACTTCTCAAGGAAATGCTGCCAAACTCTGTTAATTTAGGATAATTCCTCCTGACAATGAAAAACTAATTGTGATAGACTGCCAAACTGCCTTCCTCTGCTATCAAGACAAAGGCAAAACAACAGAATTTCTTTCCAAATGAGAAAGTGCCAATTAAAGCACAATGTTTAGATAATATGTCAAGACAAGAGAAAGTGTTCTTGTAGGCCTTCTTTCAATAACATCCCTACGTCATTACAAGCCTAGGCCTATGTTGTGATTTTCGTCGGGTTGGAGCGGCATCTTAAGATTTGGACTGTTAGAGCTACAGTAAATGTCGACAAGGGAGAAATCACATAGATCTACTGAGACAGAAGGTTTGAAGTGAGTCCATCCATCCATTTTCTAACAGCTTTATCCAATACAGGGTTGCGGGGCAGCCAAAACCTATCCCGGTAAGCAACAGGCACGAAGCAGGATACAACCTAGACGGGAAACCAGTCCATCACAGGGCACACACACTCAGACCAGGCCCAGTTTTCCCAGATGTCAATTAACCTACAGAACCAGCATGTCTTCCCCCTCTCCTCCACTCAACCCAACATACTTTTGCCACCTTGATTCACAAAAGCTGTTCTATCATGTTTTCTTTTTGATGTTATTCTGTATGTACTGCCCGTGACATGGCCTGCTTTCAGATTTACAATAAAATGTTCAAGAAAGAAAAAAAGAGTATGTCTTTGGGCTCTGGAACGAAACCGGAGCACCCAGCGAAAAAACATGTCAACACAGAGAGAACATACAAACTCCATGCAGGTAGCACCTCAGATCTGGAATTGAACCCAGGGCCATACTGTATATCCTGCATCCTGTCAAAATGACTGGTAAAGGATTCGAAATGGGAAGGTCTTACGAGCCTACAGAAAAAAACACTGAACTTTAAGATAAAACGGGTACTGACAATCGGTTTACATATTGTGCATTTATTTTCCTTTCCACTACTGCATTTGCCGGGGCATTTCCAAGCTCTTCATTTGCATCAGGGACTGCAACATGGCTTTGCAAGCAAGAACTCAGAGAGCGTCTGGAGCACAAAGGGCCAAATCAACTGGAAAGTTATCAATTCAGGCCTTTTGCATACGGCAGGCTGCAGGAGGAAGAGAAAAAGAGGAATGTCATTGTACGAAAAAGAAGCCTTCACTAATCATCAAGCCAAATTGAGCAAATTAAAAGACACTCAAATTTCTGAGCACTCTTCAGCTATAGGCGGCCGTCATCGAGTTCTAAACCACACCAGCTGCCATCCATTGAAATATTAATTGCTGCCTTTTCTTTTAAAACAACTTAATTGTTTTGGAGCCAGAGGCTTTCTTTGTGTACATTGACTCAAATATACTGTACATACAAGAAATAGGCTCCTTTCAATATAGCACATCTTGCTTTCACTTATGAGCCTGCCAATCCAAGTGTCACTTGCGTTCACAAGAAACAAGCAACAAAGCTTTACTTAGAAAACACTCATTTCATTTCTTTCTTAAACACTTCAGCTGCCAAGAGATCAAATGTTGTGGAAACTATTATTTGAATCACATAAAATAGTTTTCTGCTTGCATGACCGAGATGCAGTCTACTCCCAGCATACTGCATACTTAATTTGTGCCTGGATACAATGTGTAACTTTTCAGGGGGAAAAAGCAACACAGCTGGAGAAGAGACCAGGCTCTACTCAGTAACATTCTGGCCTGAATTATTATATGGTTATTTCAGACTAATTATTAAGAGAAACATGCCTTTGTCTCTGGTGACCAATAATAGGATAGCTCCAGTTCAAAGTGCTATCTTATCAAAGGCAAACAAATCACTACTCCAACTAATTACCCAAGGCATTGAGGTATTCTACTACCAGTGTAAATAATGGCATCCTATATTGCATTTCTTCATAAAGTACGCTGAAGGTGGATCCAAAATAATTTTGCTAGACTCATACATGCTTTATTGCTTGCAAAACAAATATACTAAAATCAAGATAAGTGAAAAACAGCACTTGAGTAAAACTGTCATCTGATAAATCTGATTCTACAAATGAATCCTTGATCTTTACTCCTTTCACGTCTTAGCAGAGGGCTTGAATGTTCTGCTATTTAAGGAGCTGAAAAAATAATATCTCCTCTACTAAATCATACTTGAATAGAAGTAAACAACAACCACAGCAGGGCACAGCTTCTAAAAAACCATAACAATTCTAAAAAAATCACCATTTGCTATACTAACAAAAAAAAACGGTTGGAAACACTGGCACCACAAAAAGGAATAGAATTGTGCTGAAAGTGTTGTGAATGATCAGTTCACATAAACAGGATGTAGCCAAGTCCTGCTCTCTAAGCACTAAGCACAAACCTAAACTATTCAGGGTGTTATTTCCTTAACACTTTTAGAGTCAAAGATATAAGAGATAAAGATATTATTAGCCCTGCTAGAATGTTTGAAAAAACATCTGCTCACTCAGCCTTTGCTGTAGTGCAGGTGTAACTAATTCATAGAAAACAAGCAAAATCATAAAACAGCAGATAAGTAAGGAAGACCATACCAACTCAATAACTCAGCAGAGACCTCTGACCTCAGAACCTTGTAGAAGCACATAATACAGAAACAAATCAAAAGATTCAGTCAATAGTAATGGATAAATGAAATTTAATTTTAAAAAAAAACAAAAGAAATATGGACTTGGATCCAAAATAAACAAAAATGAACCGACTACAAAAAGCAATTTCTAATGTCTCATTCAATGAAGGCTTTTGGCATTCTAAGCATACAATACCTACAGTAGCACCTGACCAGAGAATAGCCACTAACAGTTTGGCTTGGCTTTCCTTGGCTTGGAAATTATTATCAGGTGAGTCTAAATCTAGCTTTAATCTGAGCCGGCATCTGTATACATAAATGTTCGACTTTCTGTACAGCACAGAAAAATAATTCAGATGTGTACTGGCGATCTTTGCTGTTATATCTTATCAAAGAAGTTGCACCTGTCACAGTGGTTTGACAGGGTATTGGCCTACCTGTATGTGTATTCCTAGGTAAGAACACAGAAGATACTGTTTAATCCACACTGCACCACAGTTTCATCACAGCTAGGAGCAACTGCAACACTTTGTACCTATCTGACTGTCTCTCTCCTTCAGAGACAAGGCATATTACTGTACCACTACCTGAAATTTGACAATATCTTAGTGCCAGGTGCTATAGGAATATATGCTTGCAATTCCTATGGCGCTATATGCCTTAGCGCCATAGGAATTGCAGAATCGCAAATCTTTGGCACTGGTTTTCAAACAACACCTAGGAACATCTTTTTCAAGCTTCTGTAGATATGCAATATTTTGAAATTATTTCACTTCCATTTAACAAGACATGTGAGCTTGCTTTTATTTGACTAGGCTATACTAAATAGAATGCAGTTCCACTCTGCAATGAATATTAAATTCATAATGACAACACAAAACTATCAATATTCCTAGTGCCAACAATCTAGAAAATATCAAAAACCATCACAATACAAAGGTTAGTAGTTACATTTTTAACAATTTGAACATCAGCATCTTTCGCTTTGAATGACCTTGACTTGTATCATTACAATTATAGATTTTAAGCCTCTAACCACGACAGTTTTCCCATTCATCAGTCTCAGATAAGCCCAAAGAAAATCCTATTTAATTATGAGCCAAACATATTTGCATCAAATAAATAAAATTGCAAATACTGTAACATTGATGCAGAGAAGCTCTTTAGTTTCTACAATGTAAGTTATATAACACAGTGAGACAACAAATGAACCATGATAATACAAGTAATGCCAATACATACAGTACCTGTTGTGCCTTCACGAATAAAACCTGTTATTACATTTGCAAAGGCACTGCAGTTGAGTGAATAACTATAAACTAGGGATAGAAAATAAATGGCTCTAACAGTTGCTACATAACACATCAAGGACACATCCATCATTGATGTGCTTACTGGATCAAAATTTCAGATCTTCAGTATTATGAAATAAAACCTGTAACCTATAAGGCCATACACTGTACATTGAGGCTGAAGTCTAAAACGTTTATTATATTAGACAATGAATTATAGACCACTGGCTCCAAAACCCAGAGCTATAGAACACACATCAGTAGGTGATGTAAACTATTCAATAAGACTTTGTACAACATTAAAATTCCCATAATGAATACTTGTACAAGGCCAGTATGCCACGCTCAGAAGTTTAACTGTCAAGCAGAACAACTATGGCCACAGATAACCCACAACATATTTGACTTTCTCCATATATTTTTTTTTATATTTTTACAGAAGATTAAATCAATTACATTTCAAGGATTTCAAGCATTCATAGAAAACCAGCCAGCGAGTGTGTAATAAATTCAATGCAATTGCTGTTTAGTGCATTTATTTGCCTTTCTTACCCCTGAATCCAGGTTTGATCCAGGTTTTCCTTCATGGAGAGCAAAGTGACTAAGTGGCTGGGTTAAGTTAATCAGTTTGGCACTCCTGACATATTCCCTGGCAACCGCACAAAAAGCAGGAGGTACAGCCCACTGGGAGGGGAGTGTGTAGAGGCATCTGCAGACACAGTGCCTGACTGGGACTAACTGCATTATCGCCTACAGCCACTCTAGCAAATACACACTCATGTATACCAACATAAACTATAGTAACATGCAAATTCTTACATAAACAGGTTCTTAATTCAGGAGTTTGCTATTC